AAAGTGAGGAGAATGTAGTGCAGTGGAGGCCACAGATTATGCTAATGTCACATTGCTGATGCTGATACCTGCTACAGACTCCACGATTGTCCATACAGCGAGATTTTTTGAAAGGGTGTTTGCCACTAGGCTCTCTTGTGATTACAGGAGAAACTATCATTTCCTACAAATCTGATAAACTACCAATGGTAAGCTAGTATATCATGTTTTGTTTACTAAATAGCTGATACCAAAGTATGGTGATGTGATCTGTGGAAACTCACCAACAGTTGCAGGATATAAAACTCCTTTTCCTTTAATGGCAAAGAATACAGATACTTAGGGAGGTTACACTTAGGGACGTTACTCAGAAGGTTACACCAAGTAGGAGTTAATACAGCATTGTCCCCACAGTGTGTATTCATCAGGGTAATTCATTAGCTAGGATCACAAACAACCCAGAAATCTCAGCGGCTTAACACAATAAAGGTTTATTTCTTGCTCATACTACTGTCAGATGTGAACTGTCCTTGACACAGCTAACCCCTAGCTACACCATCCGGAAGATGAGGTGTTCAAAGCCACTATGAAAGAAGAAGAGAACTGCATTCGATGTTGCTAAAGACCAGGCCTGGAAGTGGTGTAAATTACTCCTGTTTACATACTATTGACCAGAATAAAGTACATGGCTCCACATAACTGCAAATGAGAGAAGAGGGAGCAAATTTTATCTTCCTCTCTCACCAGGAATAATAACTACACAGCATTGCCTCTGACACAGAGGTAAAGCTTCTTTCACACCAAAGTTCTCCAACAGGAACATGGATCTCTGGGTGATATCCTTACAGAGTGTGAACTCTGCCAGGCTCATGAAGTTTTCTTTACAATTTTCAAGGGAGCAACTTTTACCATCCTGGCCTCCACTCTGACTATTTTTCTAATGTGAACTAATGAAAAATTTTTCATTTTTATTTTCAATTGAAATTATGGGTCTGAGGTTTAAAAACATTCAAACCTATGGAAACAAGGAAAATAATGAGGGAAACAACCTGAAATCATAAACATTTGTGATGGATATGGCAGTGATCCCTTAAGCTCCCCAGTCCAGCCAATGGAAGGATATCAAGCAGTAGTTAATGATTATTAGGGTTCTCCAGAGAAATAGAACCAACAGGATGGATATATACATGGCATGGTTTGTAGGCCTGAGAACCAGGAGACCTGACAGTATAAGTTTCAGTCCCCAAACTAGCAGGCTCAGAACCAAAGAGTCAATGATTCAGTTCAAATCCAAAAGGGTGGGGGGAAAGCTCTGTGTTCCAGCTCATAGCCATCAGACAGGAGGGGTTCCCTCTTATTTCCAAGATTTAGGCCATAGACTGCTTGAATGAGGCATACACACTTTAGGGAGTGCAATCTGCTCTATCCAGTCTACCAATTCAAATGTTAATTGCATCCAAAAACAGCCTCATAGACACATCCAGAATAATGTTTCACCAAATATCTGGGCACTTGTGGCCAATGAATTTGACACATTCAAATGTGATGGTAAACTTAGCCATCACATAATCCAAAAAGCAAAAAATGAACTTGAGTGCTTATTTAATACCCAGATTTTTGTTATTGTGCAAATGAAAATAAACATCTTATTTTTAAGATTAAAAAAAACAAAAATCTTGATAAATCTTAAGTATATAAAATTATGATTGCTGTAGTGATATTTGTCATTTCTTTCAGAGAAAAAAGGGATATATGTGAACTCTTATTCAGCATTCTTCTCTTGATACACATCCAAAGAGTAAAGAGAGGAAGAGTCATCTATTTTGATATTAAAAAAAATAATAAAGCCCCAATCTCATATCACAAACTCTAAATAATATTAGACCCATAATAGATGGCTTACATCAAATTTTTACAAGGTTGTCAGGAGCTAACCATAAGTCCTGTTTTATTAGCACAATTAACTGTTTCAGGTAACATGAAAGAAACTCAGGAAGAACCTATTAATATCCCTCCAGTTGGAAGGGATGTGTGCTAAAGGCTTAAGCAAATTACAGGAAGGGCAAGAAATTCTTTGAGAACATATTTGATCAATGTGGCTCTAGAAATTTTATACTGGATATAGCAATCTGGTTGGAAGGAGGAGATAGAGGATTCTTACTGAAGTTATGTTGTATAGAAAGCATGCCATTTTTATTTAGGTCATATGTTTTTTTGGGTGGCAAGAAAATTTATAAAGAGAATAAGGTCTCCTGAGACACTCCTTGGCACCCCTGATGGCATCTGTTCACTTTAAATGCTCAGAGGAGACAGCACAAAAAGATGGACCATTTGGCTGAGCAAGGATTTCCTGTCTTTTAAATTTTTATTATAAAAATTTCAAACATGAACAAAAGTATATGAGTATACTATCATGTATAGAATAGTATAATGAACTTCCATGTATTCATCATTTACCTTCAACAATAACCAGCTTTTCCATTCTTATTTCACCTATTTACCCCATTCACACCATTTTATGGAAAGGCTAGATTTTAAAACAAATCCCAAACACCATGTAATCCCATCCATAAATATTCAGACTGTAATATTAGATGTTTTAAAAATGTAACTAGAATAGCATTATCACATTTAACAAATTGAATAATCCCTTAACACTTTCTAATACCTAGACTATGTATTTCCCAATTGTCTCAAAAAAATCCTTTTACAGTTTATTTAAACAGATTCAAACAAGATCCACATTTGGGCAATATTTATATATCTCTTAAGTCCCTTTGAATCTATAATAGTTCCATCTCCCTCCTTCCCATTTATTTTCAATGCCATTTATTTGTGGAAAAAACCAGCACCTTTGTCCTATAGAATTTCCCACCTCCAGGATTGCACCCTTGTATTTTCATTTAGCATGTTCTTCTGTCCTCCTTTCTCATTTCCTGCACGTTAGTTCTAGAGGCTCAATTAGATTCAGATTCAATTTGGGGAATAATATATGATTCTGGCAACTTAATATTGCATCACATTAGAAAGCAGGCGCCTGGTTCTAAAGTTCTAATGGTGTTAAGATTTATCAGGTGGTTTAAGTGTTAGCAACTTCTTCTGTCCATTATAAATTTCTCTATCAATACATCACTTGAAAGTTTTGACAGGCAATGGAGTGACTGTTGCTTAATTTGTCAACTGAGAGTTTCAAAATAGTGTTTTTCTAATGCTATCATTCTTTCTGCATTTACCAGTTGTATTTCTTCTATCGTTAATTTTCCTCATTTATAAGTTGGTTACTCTGAAATATAGTTCACATAAAAATGGCAGTGTACTCAAGACAAATGCTGGGCATAGAAGCCACAGGGCATAAATATCCAAAGAAGTAAAAAACTAACCTTTTCAAACAATAAGGCTTCTCTCTCACTTACCAACTTTACATTTCCCTGTATGGCCCCGGAAGATGACTGGTTAGCCAGAGACGGGTAAGATTCCTCAAGGGAGGAACAACCTAAAACAGGCACAGTCGCAGAGGGGCCATCAGGTGAGAAATTGGGGATCAACAGAGGTGAGGCTTAGAACCTCTCCCCCCCTGTGTTGAGAGAAAGCTTCTGCATCCATGGATGTTTTATTGCCCTTGTCTAGCTTGGATTAACACATAGTCTACAGGCACACACCTGATCATCTACATCTGCTCTCTTACAACACTAAACTATGTTTTCTACCTTTATCTTGCATCTACCTACCACTTCAGCATTTTATTAAAAATAATAATAATAAAGAGAGAAATGTGGTATCCACATATAAATCAAGTATAAAAATCAAACGAATATTCATATTTGAACTGTTTATAGTTCATAATGCACGATCAAAACCGAAAGTTTCTGTGATGACTGCCCTTGTACTGTTCACCATGTAACTTATTCACTATGTAAGAATTTGTTCTACATGTAAGAACTTGTTCGTTATGCTTCAGAAGATTGGAGACTGACGAAAATTAGGGTTGGGGTGGATTAATGATTATACATTGAGCATTGAGTCCCCTATACAGAATTTTATTGTTATTAACAACCATTTGATCAATAAATAGGAGAGATGCCCCCACAAAAAAAAAATACACACTTCCAATTGTAAAATAAATAAGTAACCGGGATGTAATGTATAGCATAAGGAATATAGTCAAAATACTGTAACAGCTTGGTATGGTGATAGCTGGTACCTAGAATTATCATGTATATAAATGTTGAATCACTGTGTAGTACACCTGAAACTAATGTAATACTGGGTGTCAACTACCCTTCAATAAAAAATAATTATCTAAAAAAAAATGGCAGCATAAATAATTCTTTTCCTCTATTCATCAATTTTCAGAATTAGTTATTGTCCCAGAAACCTCTCATGGTATCTCTCTTTTTTTTTTTAGGGCACATGAATTTCTATGTAATGTAAGCCTCAAATTGTCCCAAATTTGGACAGCGTAAACTCTTTGGAATTGGCTCCTGTGCCCACAGAACTGCAGTAGTATTAATAGCATCCCTGCTTTCTGTCTTGACAAGATGTCTCAAGCTCCTTTTGTATACTTCCTACCCCAGAACTAGAAGCAGCCATTTCGTCAGGGATCCCTGCTTCCTTTTGTTGGAAAATGGCATCTAAAGACTGCAGGTGGTTACTGGGGGTGTCACTGCTATTGGACTGCCATTATTTCTATGCCCCCTTAGTAGAAAAAGGTAGGAAATGTGTGAATCTTAGAAAGAAAAATAAATTGTGAGTTCATATGGTTATTTCCAATTCAAATGAAATATTGTAGAGTTTTTCCTTAAATTCTTTGATTTTTATATTTGTCTTTTTATTTTCCTGAAAATCTTTGTTCTAATGACACTAACATAATTGCTTATTTGCTTGTGTATATCTAAAATATATACATATATGATAAATATTGTCTGTAAAATAGTTTCAAAGCAATAATACTAATATTACTACTAATAATAGAACTACCAATTGCAACTGAATAACTCATTGTGGTTCTTTTTACTCCTTAGGTATATCCCACCAGGGAGGAACATCAAATGGTTGAGTTTTTAAATCATTTAAAATATTTTTTTTCTGTATGGTTATGCCATTAATCTGATATACTCCAAATGTCATTTGTATCCATTTATTTCAGGTTTCTAGGGATTTTTTTTCTTTTTGATTCAAGTGTTTTAGTTATGTGAAATAAATGGTTTCAGAGTAGAGACTATAAAACAAGATGCAGTTGAAGAAGTCTGTTCAACCCTTTGTCCTTCCATTTAATAATACAGGGTTTTTTTTAAGATTACAAAATTGGACTGAATTGTTAAGAGAGGGAGATTCAACAGAGCATTGTTAGTGACAGAAACTAGTGTGCCCCTCTATTTATTCTATCATCTATACATATTAGTAAAATTTTATAGTTTTTGTCATACAAGTCTTGCACATTTTTATTCAGTTTAGCCCGAGGGTTTATGTGTGTATCTTTGTTACTTTGAATAGGTTTTTTCTCCTGTCCTGATGTTTCCACTTAGTTGTTGTTTGTATATAGGAAATTTCCAGTTTGCTATTCATAAGCAAAATAAGCTAGTTTCTGTTTAGACATACTTATTATTCTAAAGATGTTGATCATTCCTAAATTATAAAGTCAATGTAATTGCAATAAAAATTACCGCTTTTTTGGGAATGTGAAAAGTGATTTTAAAGTTTTCATTAAATATGTAAGTATGTTTTGGGAAACTTGGGAATGAAGTATAAGTGGAGGTGTCCCCATGTGTGTGCCCCAATCCCAGTTGCTCTGCTTGAGACCCCCTGAGCAACAGCCTCAGTCCCTTGTGCAGCCCCATTTTTGCTCCAATAAGATGAAAGGGACTATCATGAGCAGAAGAGATTCAGGAAACTGAATGCACAAGGGCATATTGGTGGGAAAGGAACTGCTCACAGAAAGAAGAAGGTGGTTCATAGAAGAGCTACAGCACATGATTAAAAAAAATTCAGTTCTTCTTTAAAAGTTTAAGGAAAGTTAGGGGTAAACAATATCTCTGGTGTTGAAGAAGTGACTATGTTCACAAACCAAGGAACAGTGATGCACTTAACAACCCTCAATTTCAGGCGTCACTGTGATGCATTTTAACAACTCTACAATTAAGGCATCTCTGGCAGCCAACACTTTCACCCTTAGGGGCCCTGCCTAGACAAAGCTGCTGACTTAAACTAGCTTGGTGCAGACAGTCTTGAGTAGTTTTTCTGGCTGAAGCTCTGCCCAAAGCATCTGTGAATAGGAAAGCACTGCTTTGCTACTGGAGAGGTTGATGATTATGAATTTCCAGATCTCATGGAGAATTTTCATGTGGCTTCCAAGAAAGTGGCAAACTGGAGTCAATTTTTGAAGAAGACAAAATGAAGAAGTTATTAGGAGGTGCTCTTTCATTTTAGGACTGCTTTTAAAATTTTTAAGGATCTGATAAAATCTAGATCTCTGATAGTTTTAAGCCCAAACCCCTTGGACACTGCACCTCTTCAGTTTTTGCTTATACAAAAGTCATTCTTTACAGCTAAGTAAGGTGAAGGAGGCTGAGAATAAAGTTTGGAGCAAAAGTTACTGAAGTTCTTTGCCTAGTTAAAAAAAAAAGCATAATTGAGGGAGGATATAGCACACCAGATTAAAACCTATAATTCAAACCTATTAAAAAATAACTTTAAAAATAAAATAAATAAAATAACTTTAAGCAATACAATACAGCACTCAACTGAATGGAGTTCATAAATAGACCAAGAACACATGGTAATATGCTATATGATTGCATTTCAATATAGGGAGGAAGACAAAGGTTATTCAATAAATTATATTGGGACAAATAGAAACTTGGAAAAAAAGTTGATCCCTACTTTTTTCTAACAACTAAATAATTTCAGATAAATTAAAAATTAAATGTAAGAAAAACTCCAAAGCACAAATCCACTAGAAAATATGTTTGACTTTTTATTAAAGAAATAAAAATTAGAATAAGATTTTAGTTTATGAGATTGCAAAATATATATATATTATATAATATATATATATAAAATATATAATATATATATATATTTGACAAAATTCAGCATTGGTAAGGATGTGGAGAGAAAAGCAATATTATCTATAGCTGGTAGTATAAATTTGCATAATTTTCCAGTATGCTTCAGGCATCTCTTAGACTCATCAATTTTATGTGCGTGAATTTGCTTAAGTCCAGATTCAAAACTACTTGAGAATAACAAGTGAAGCTCATGTAATAGTAAAGAAAATCTCATTGAGCATTAAGATGAATTAATTTTGCATCACAAAATGACGGGCAAGCTGAGAAAAGGGCCCCTGTTAAAAGATATTATAAAGTGATGGATCTTAATATGCTTAAAAGACATATGAGAAAACTTAATTAAAAACTTAAAATGTAACTCTGGGTTGTGGGGATAGGGGAATGAGTAAGGGTTTTCATTATTTTGCCCCATTTTATTCCTTAAACTGGATGATAAGTTCATCATATATGTATAGCATGTGCTACAATTTTGGCTATTTTTAAAAAATGTCTGCAACATAATTACATACTAAAACATATTTTAACTGGATGAGAGACAGGGAGTAAGTGAATTCTTCTGTTTGGATAAAATTACACACTGTACTACTCAATTGTGTACTTCTTGTTTATCACACTTAAATTGTTGATATCTGAGAAGATGCTTATCTTCAGAGTGAAGAAATTTTTAACAAGATATATGAATTTTTTTGTTAACTTGGAGTCAACCAGAAAAGAATGTGTAGTTGTAGCCATAGTTATAGCCAAATAACAGTGGTTTGAATACCTTTTTTGCAAGCAAAACTTCAGTAGTAGCTGGCAGTGAGGCTGCTATGCACTCTTACATAAGCATATCCAGCTGTGTAACATTCTCCAAGAATGCCTCCCACCATGAGTAAGCATATATTCATAGAGCATTTGAGTCTTTTTAACTGGACTTTTAGATGACAGATTGTGTGTGTGTTTGCACACATGCACACATATGTATGTATATAGTTGATCCTTGAGCAACATGGGTTTGAACTATGTGGGCCCACTTACATTTGGGTTTATTTCAATAAATATACTGGAATCTTTTTTTGGAGATCTGCAACTATTTGAAAAAGTGTTTTCTCCAGCTTACTTCATTGTAAAAATTCAGTATATCATACATACACAAACTATGCATTAATTGTTTATGTTATCAAGAAGGCTTCTGGTCAAGAGTAAGTTATTAGTAGTTAAGTTTTTGGGGAGTCAAAAGTTATATGCAAATTTTTAACTTCACAGAGATTGTTCAAAAGCCAGTTGTATATATATTTAAACAAAATAACAGTGGTTTGAATACTTGTCTCTATAAACTGAGTTGTTTCATTGAGGGGAAAAACATGTATGCTTCCATGACATGAATTAATAAACTAGAATATTTATCTGAAAAATTCCAGAAACCAGGATTGAGAGATATAAAGATGTAAAAGATAGGTACAAAGTAACTGAGGAAAATCAGAGGTTTAACATATGTTTAAGCTTAAAACAAGGAGAAAAGAAAGAATGGGACAGAAGGAATATTTGAAGAGATATTGGTTGAGAACTTTGGGATAAGGACTGAAATTTCGTCTTTTTTTTTTTTAATACTCTATCCCTAATCCTAGAAGACAGCCTGATATATAGTAAGTGGTTAATATTTGTTGAATTACATTGAATTCTATTTCTAGTAATATGGATAGCTAGACATCTAAGTTAACTGTTCCCCTGAAAACACTCAGAATGCCTGGGTAAATGTAAAAATGTAAAAAGAAAATCTTAAAAGTATTTATGAGAATTAAAGGAACTTTTTATCAAATTAGAGGCAGAAGATGAAATGAAAGAGGTTTTGCAAGGACAAGTACAAAAACAACCCAAATTTTAAATCTGAGAAAGGAACCATAGGAAAAGAAATGAGATCTAGAAAAATATCTCTTAAGAGAAATAAGCATTTTATGTATGAAAGAGTTGATGGTGTGGATTGTTGGAACGGAAGAAGAAGAAGCCACAGGCACTTTCCATTTTAACTTAAAAATCAGGTGATTTATAAACTCCCTGAGAAATGTGTAAGTAATGTGCATGAAAAGACATGAGTAAGGAGGTTGATAGCAGCACTGTTCATACTGGCCTCAAACTGTATGGAAATCACACGAATGTCCACCAAGAATAGAATGGACATATAAACTGTGGGATATTCATAAAATGGAATAATGCACTAATAAAAAAACTACAATTATAAGTAACAAAATTAATGAATCTCACAAGTCTGATGTTGAATGAATATAAAGATTATATTTATATAAAACAAAAGGAAATAATCATTATCCTGATTTTTAACAATACACAATGTTCATGGATTGTTAGACTCAATATTGTACAGGGGTCAATTCTCAAATTGATCTATGGGTTCAAAGCAATTCAAATCAAAATCACAACAATTTTTTCATGGATATTCAAAAGTTGAAATTTATATGAAAATGCAGATGGGCAAGAATAGCCAGGAGAGTCAAGTAAAGCAAGGTGGGAGAATCTCCTCTATTTGACATTAAGACTTATTATGAAGCTACAGTTTTAAGACAGTGGTATTAGCTCAAGAATGGAACAATAGACAAGTGGAATAGGATAGTGAGTCTAGAAAGAGAACCATGCATATATGAATAGATAGAGGATATAGGAGGTAAAGGAGAAAGATGATATGGAAAAAGGGTGATACTGCAGAGCAGTGTGAAAGGCACAGACTTTTCAATAACTGAAGTTGGGCAATCTGACATTCATATGGGAAAAACAAATGAGACTTAGTCCCCAGCTCACACTATACACAAAAACTAATTCCAGGAAAATTACAGAGTTGCAAGTGAACAGTAAGATAATAAGGCTCCTAGAAGGTAAAATCAAGCTACAAATTGGAAGATATTTATAGTGCATATATTTAACAAAGCACTCATTTCCAGAATATATGCAAAACTCTTAAAATCAAGGAGAGACAGTTCCAAAGAGAATACCCAAAGGGTTAAAAAAATATAGGAAAACATACTCAAAAACTACAATGAGATGTCATTATACACTAACCACTAACCACAAAAGGAAAATTAGAAAGACTGACAATACCAAGTGTTAGCAGGTATATGGAAATGTGTTTCTCTCTCTTTCTCTGTCTCTCTCTATTACTCCCTGTTTACCATACTTAAATTAGTGATATCTGAAAAGGCATGTTTATTTTCAAAGTGAAGAAATTTTTTACAAGATATATGAATTTTTTTTAAAATTTGGAGTCAACCAGAAAAAATGGCTTGAGTATCTGTCTTTATAAGCAAAACTTCAATAGTAGCTGGCAGTGAGGCTGTTGTGCACTCTTTTTTTTATTTTGGTATCATTAATCTACAATTACATGAAGAACATTACGTTCACTAAGCTCCCCCCTTCACCAAGTCCTCCCCCACATACCCCTTCACAGTCACTGTCCATCAGCATGGTAAGATGCTGTTAAATCACTACTTGTCTTCTCTGTGTTGCACAGCCCTCCCTGTGCGCCCCCCCCACACTATACATGCTAATCGTAATGCCCCTTTCTTTTTCCCCACCCTGTCCCTCCCTTCCCACCCATCCTCC